ATTAGTGGCTGTAAACAGGGATCCTACTGTTGGACTCTGTGGCTCATAGTCCTGGCATTTCTACTTACTGGCTCTGTATAATCTAACCACTCTGTTCTCTCTAATCTCCTTTTTGTTATTGGTAAAATATCTAGGAAAATACTAATTACTCTTTAGTATTTTTTAGAAGAATGAAATGAAATGATGAATGTAAAAGCATTCAACATAGTGCCCAGCACATGGCACATGCTCAGATAATTGTTGTTGTTAATGACAATGATGATGTTAATAATGTCAACGATGTGATGTTGTTGTTGTTGTTGATGATGATGTTGATGATGATGATGATGATGATGATGATGATGATGATGGTGATTATTTTTAAATTTCATTGAGACAGGTCTGGGCTCCGGTGGAAACCCGAAGTACACTACATCCAGGATACATACTTTCTGTGATCATATAATTCAGTCCTTCATTGTAAGATAGTTTGTATTTCCAGTTTGGTTGGGATATTTTCTATGGCATCATCCAGCAACTACTCCACTGCACTGATCTCTGAATTCCTCCTCATCTGCTTCCCTAACTACCAGAGTTGGCAGCACTGGCTGTCCGTGCCCCTCAGCCTCCTCTTCCTCCTGGCCATGGGGGCCAACACCACCCTCCTCATCACCATCTGGCTGGAGGCCTCCCTGCATGAGCCCATGTACTACCTGCTCAGCCTCCTCTCCCTGCTGGACATTGTGCTCTGCCTCACTGTCATCCCCAAGGTCCTGGCCATCTTCTGGTTTGACCTCCGACCCATCAGCTTCTCTGCCTGCTTCCTCCAGATGTTCATCATGAACAGTTTCCTGACGATGGAGTCCTGCACTTTCATGGTGATGGCCTATGACCGCTATGTGGCCATCTGCCATCCATTGCAGTACCCTTCCATCATCACTGGCCAGTTTGTGGTCAGGGCTGCTGTCTTTGTTATAGCCAGAAATGTCCTCTTTTCTCTTCCAGTTCCCATCCTTTCTGCTAGACTAAGATACTGTGCAGGAAACATCATCAAGAACTGCATCTGTACTAACCTGTCTGTGTCCAAACTATCTTGTGATGACATCATCTTCAACCGACTCTACCAGTTTGTGGCAGGCTGGACACTCCTGGGTTCTGACCTCATCCTTATTGTTCTCTCCTACTCCTTTATCTTGAAAGTTGTGCTAAGGATCAAGGCTGAAGGTGCTGTGGCCAAGGCCCTGAGCACATGTGGGTCCCACTTCATTCTCATCCTCTTCTTCAGCACAGTGCTGCTGGTTCTGGTCATCACTAACCTGGCCAGGGAGAGAATTTCTCCTGATGTCCCCATTCTTCTCAACATCCTGCACCACCTCATTCCCCCAGCTCTGAACCCCATTGTTTATGGTGTAAGGACCAAGGAAATCAAGCAGGGAATCCAGAAACTGCTGAGAAGATTGTAAGAATTCAAATGAGTGAGACGTGACCTTGGAAACAGAAATTGACAATGGGAATTAATTTTCACAATGCATAGGAAATTTAAATGTTTCATGTTAGAGTAATTTTGTATTTTGCTTTGCTCAATGATGACTATGGGATATTCATATATTGATGCCTGTTTTCTGTTATACTGATTAGAAGCTTAACTTTTGCCTTTTGGAATAACTTGTAAGTTTTTTCTGGCCATATCATTTGAAAGGGACTTATCAAGCCATAACTTCAGGAACTTTGAGTGATATGGTTGTTAAATAAAAAAGAAATGTTATTCCAATAGTTGTAAATGCTCTTCAGTTTCCTAAATTGTTTAACTCATATGTGTTAGAAGATCTCTTTATTCTCCTTGATATGGCTGAACCTGGTTTGTGCCATCAGTGAGTCTCTTGTGAGCTACAGAAGTTGATTCCAGAACTTTGGTCTGATGTAGAGTGAGTGGCATATGTCATACACTGCTTCTTTTCTCCCTGATAGAAATCATTATCATTTATACTTAAAGCCACTTCTCTGATATAAGAATTTTTTGTAGATTTTTTTCTTATTTGTAATAAATTTGGTTAAATTCTAGGATGATTTATATTTGCAAGGGTAATTTTTAAATATGTTTTTAAATGATTCATTTTAGTTATAGATAACATTAGGGTACATTTTGATATAATCACAAAAGCATGGAATATAATTTGCTCTAATTCATTCCGTAGCACCTCCAGCTCCTCCCTTCCATTCTTCTCTCCCTCTAGTTCTAATGATCTTTCTGGAATTTATTTATAGTATTTTTAAAAATTTGTGTTTCATGGGTATACTTGTTCATGGCATTCGCTGTGATGTACTCATGTATGTACACATGAAAGTTCAGTCAAATTCATTCCATTCTTCTTCCCTTTTCCTGTATTTCTTTCCTCCTCCTCCTCCTCAATCCCCTTTGTCTACTCTAGTGATATTTCTTCTATTTTGATGAAAGATTTCTCTCTTTTTTTTCTTTTCTCTTTCCCTCTAACCTTATTTTGGATTAGCTTCTGCATAGCAGAGACAACATTTGAACTTTGACTTTGGCTTATTTCACTTTGCATTATATCCTCCAGTTCCATTCATTTGCTGCCAAATGCCAAAATTTCATTCTTCTTCATTATGACTGAGTAATACTCCCTTGTGTATATATGCCACATTTTTCTGTATCCATTCATCTGTTGAAGGAAACCTAGGTTGCATCCATAGTTTGGCTATTGTGCTGCTTTTCAGAGTGGTTGTACTAATTTGCAGTCCCGCCAACAATGTATGAGTGTAAATTTTTCCCCACATCCTCTCCAACATTTACTATTATTTGCATTCTTGATAATTGTTATTTTGACTGGAGTGTGTCTTATTTTAAGTAAAATATTATGTTCTCTCCCCACCCAGTCATCAGTGTCTAATTTCATACTGTCTTACCTGGTTTCTCCGTCAGATTTCAGGTACCATCTACATTCCCATCCTTTCCTTCATTTCTTA